AAGGCCCCAAGGCCCAATCAAAGACTTATTAATATAGTGCGTGAGGCGTGGCTCGCACACCTGCCCTCCCACACAAATTCCACACTTTTCACCAGTTGGGAACATCATCTAAATTAATTATTTCTTTCAAATATAATATTTATTGTATAAATATATAACATAAAATTAGATTTTTTGTATATTGTGATAGAAGTTTTTGAAATGTGTGGTTGAAAAGTTGTGAGACTCATGAAAAATATGGTTAATATTGATTGTTTAATTTTGACTTAAATTAAAATCTAATTTTAATTTATACCAAACATGCCCTAAGTGACGCTAAATAATATGTTAAATGAAATGTGAAATTAAATGACTTATTAAACTCAGTAGGAATGAATAACATTATTTTATCATTTAATGTCACATTAAAGTCATATAAACTGAGGTTGCAATTCCAATAGGGCTATAAAAAGAGGTTGCTTCTGCCCAAATTCAATAATGACCGTAACAGCAAATGTGATAATTGACTTATAAATATACAGACATTCATATATTGAATGCACAATAATTTGCTGTGTTTAGCTGGACAGCGAGCTGCGACTCGCCATTGTTTGCAAGTGCTTAGTCATTAGTATTGCGGTCATTATCTTGAAAGTCACCGGCTGTCAGTCGATAAGATGAAGCCTAACAGAACCTTTTGACTGAAGATCTTGCTGTCTCTAGGGAAACCAAATTCCGTACTGAAATCAGTGCCATTGTAAAGTGTCTAGAGCTTCTTGATAGACCCTTTTGTCCCCAGCTGCCACTACATTAAAACCTGGAAATACAACAATTTATTGTTATGTTAAATGGCAATTTGGCTAAACTACAACCTTAAAGATTGAAGTTGACATGGATAATGAGAAGCAGCTTGAGCAAGAAAGTCATACTTGCCACATCGGGATTTGATGAAGCTTCCCAATGAAGTTGATGTCCTCCCCAATCAGTTACGACTCCACCCGCGCCTTCAATTACTGGTATCAGGGAAAGGAAATCGTACGGCTGAAAATTAAGTAGTTACAAATTCATTAATAAAAAGATATCTGGCAACTTGTGAGTACCAACAGCTTTTACATTTTTTTCACATGCCGAGGTGGAAAAGTAACTCATTTCACATTTTTCTTAGCTATATAATCCAACGAGTCATAAGACCACAAAGCAGAAAATCAGCTGCTTGATTCCAATTTCGCTTGAATTATAGCTTATTGCGGGTTTTATCATAGTATCATACTGGACACACATGGCTACATCCCAACAAGAAAACACGGTGAAGGGAAAAACTGAATATCTCAGAACACGCGAACAAGTAAAAACAGTAAAGCTCACCTTAAGACCCGACTCAATCACAAGATCCACATAGCCCGATGCCAATAGAGCATAAGCATAACAATCACAGCCGTATAGAGGCACTTTGACCTGTCAAACAGAAATGAACCTCTTAAAGTTCCTTCATCGTTTACAACATAACCTAAACACAACTAAGCTTTTGTTCTGCATAAATAGAAATAAAATTAACAAAAGAGGACATCGGCCAAGTTTTTTTTTCTCATAGAAATCAAAGGTGAAAACCTTATAGTACTAATCAGTCATTCTCTAGTGGTTTATTGATTTATGGTAGTGTATTTCGTACATATACAAGTGAATGTGTTTGTATCTTATACATCATGAAGACATTGCCAAATATGTTTGATCACTGTTGGACATAAAAAGGACAGACCTTACTTCTTACTCGAGCAAAGGCCACCTCAGCATCACCAGAAAATAGATGTGGACTAGTAGTGTACCTTAAACACAAGAAGATGAAAAATATGAGAAGGATAGCATGCCTCTGAGGAAAGGCAGACAGTGCACCTAAAACAGTGAGTGGACTAAGATCTTCACATGCATGTGCAGTAAAATAGCTTTACAAGTTCTAAATGTCAAAACCAAGAGAAAATGTCCCAAATCTTGCACCATATTAGCTGTAAATATTTAGCTTTACGGCATAACATTTTTTGTAATATAAATCCATCCAAACTCAAGATTGTCACATTTGATTTCGTGGTGTTTTCAGTTTGATTTCATATGTTTATTGGGTTCGGTTTCTGTAACCAATCACTGTTTCTGCCTTCTGGATTCAATATTATTATTGATTGGCTTGAACCATATATCACTATTTGTCTTCTTGAAATCTGAATGGTAATATGATAGAACTTTCAAGTCTACATGTTATTTAGTTCCACAATTATTAGATGGTGCACTTGTTGTTCTCTCTAAAGAAGAGAAATGAACTTTTCTTTCACTCAACAATTTTTCAGGCTGTTAGGAAACTGAACGAAGCAAAGAAGCTGGAATCAACTGCACATTACAATACTGATTTTGGGAAGGATTAAGAGATTTAGTTGGTTCAATCAGGGTTGACATCGATAACTGTTGTGACGATGGATTTACATTTCAGGAAATTCATATTGTACGCAGCGGATATTATTCGTCAATTCTAGTTATCGTTTGTATCATGTTTGTTAATCTTTTCAATCTAATAATTATATGTTTTGAACTTTTGGCATACATGGACCGTGTTCTTCTCTTCTCTGTTTTTTGTGATGCGTCAAGCTGGATATTATGCCAAATGCTGTTATAGCATTTCTTGACCTAGGTGCAAATTAGGAGAAAATAAATGCTATATTCCCCCAATCAGAGCAGTTCCTTCTCTCAATCTCAGAAGCAGTCTATGTTCATTGCGTAGCTGGGCAATAGATTACTAGAAAAATTGATTACTACCAATTACCGAAGTTATCCTTTGAAAAATGATCAACACAAAAATGCAAAATCAGGTCATTTATAAATTAAAAAAAGGTCAATTTCAATAAGATTGATCAGTAGCATTTTTGGTATATCTAAAACAATATTTGCTCTTATTTTATTTTTTATTTACAATTTTTCAGATCAGATGTTAACATAACCAAACATTGTAACCAGTGATGGAACATATCGACAGTCGCTAACATTGCAACCAAACATTATGACTTCATAGTAATAATGCACTAGGTGAAGGAAAATATTTTACCGAGCCATTTCCATGTTTAAAATTTAAATTGCTGCTAGCTATATATAAAAAGAGTAATGCTATGTAGATCCATTGGAGTTACAATCTCAATTTAGGTGACACTACATAGATGGTGTTTGGTAGAGATTAAAATCGGATTAAAATTGAAAAACTAGTCGTTATTGTTGACTTTTATTAGATGAGTGGGACCCAATAACGGCTATATATTCAATTTTAATTGGATTTTGAGGCGTACCAAACAGGCCCATAATAGGCTAAATGAAATGTGAAATTAAATGACTCATTTAACCCCAATGAGATGAATAACATTACTCTATTATTTAATGTTACATTAAAGCCATTTGGGGTTGCAATCCTAGTAGGGCATAAAAAGAGGCCGCTTCTGCCCAAATTCAATGATAACCGTAACAGGAAATGTGAGAATTTGAGTTATAAATATACAGACATTCATATATTGAATGCACGATAATTTGCCGTGTTTAGCTGGACATCGGCTCGCCATTGTTTGGTCATTATTATTGCGGTCATTATCTTGAAAGTAACCGGCTGTCAGTCGATAAGATGAAACCTAAACGAACCTTTTTGACTGAAGATCTTGCTGTCTCTAGGGAAACCAAATTCCGTACTGAAATCAGTGCCATTGTAAAGTGTCTAGAGCTTCTTGATAGACCCTTTCGTCCCCAGCTGCCACTACATTAAAACCTGGAAATACAACAATTTATTGTTATGTTAAATGGCAATTTGGCTAAACTACAACCTTAATGACTGAAGTTGACATGGACAATGAGAAGCAGCTTGAGCAAGAAAGTCATACTTGCCACATCGGAACTTGATGAAGCTTCCCAATGAAGTTGATGTCCTGCCCAATCAGTTATGACTCCATCCGCGCCTTCAATTACTGGTATCAGTGAAAGGAAATCGTACGGCTGAAAATTAAGTAGTTACAAATTCATTAATAAAAAGATATCTGGCAACTTGTGAGTACCAACAGCTTTTACAAATTTTTCACATGCCGAGGTGGAAAAGTAACTCATTTCACATTTTTCTTAGCCATATAATCCAACAAGTCATAAGACCACAAAGCAGAAAATCAGCTGCTTGATTCCAATTTCGCTTGAATTATAGCTTATTGAAGGTTTTATCACACTGGACACACATGGCTACATCCCAACAAGAAGGGAAAAACTGAATATCTCAGAACACGCGAACAAGTAAAAACAGTAAAGCTCACCTTAAGACCCGACTCAATCACAAGATCCACATAGCCTGATGCCAATAGAGCATAAGCATAACAATCACAGCCGTATAGAGGCACTTTGACCTGTCAAACAGAAATGAACCTCTTAAAGTTCTTCATTGTTACAACATAACCTAAACACAACTAAGCTTTTGTTCCGCATAAATAGAAATAAAATTAACAAAAGAGGTCATCGACCAAGTTTTTTTCTTCATAGAAATCAAAGGTGAAAACCTTATAGTACTAATCAGTAATCAGTCATTCTCTAGTGGTTTATTGATTTATGGTAGAGTACTTCGTACATATACAAGTGAATGTGTTTGTATCTTATACATCATGAAGACATCGCTAAATATGTTTGATCACTGTTAGACATAAAAAGGACAGACCTTACTTCTTACTCGAGCAAAGGCCACCTCAGCATCACCAGAAAATAGATGTGGACTAGTAGTGTACCTTTAACACAAGAAAATGAAAAATATGAAAAGGATAGCATGCCTCTGAGGAAAGGCAGACTGTGCACCTAAAACAGTGAGTGGACTAAGATCTTCACATGTATGTGCAGTAAAATAGCTTTACAAGTTCTAAATGTAAAAACCAAGAGAACATGTCCCAAATCTTGCACTATATTAGCTGTAAATATTTAGCTTTATGGCATAACATTTTTTGTAATATAAAAGGAATAACATACAGGTAGGCTTTGGAAAGTTGCGGACAACTGCGAGTGGATATTTCTTGTCCATTTAAAGTAGTTCTCCTCCCACTTATTCCAATCCATCTCTCTCTCAGAACAGGTTGGTCAATAATGCCAAGAATCTATATTAAAAAATAAAAGAACAACTTGAATTACATATGAAACAATAACATCAGATAGCAAATCAACGCAAGAAATGCACGACTGCATGCTAGCAGCTAGACTTATTTCCCTTTTTTACGATTCGAATGGTAGAATGTAACCTAATTACATGTGATCCTAGAATGTATAGCAGATTATTGGATTTTTTCTGACATTCTTCAAGATAAAGAAAGAAACACAAAAGACTGAAAGCAATTTGAATAACGTATTCAAATGTTTTATATTCAATAGAACAAAGAAGTGGGTGTTACAATTCAAATAGATCAAAATCAACTATGAACAACCATATAATAGATCAGCTGATTCATCAATACTTGAAACACCATAATGAACACTGTAATTTAAGAACAAGAGATCATCAAGCCAAGAAGGAGAAAAGAACTAACAAGTTAAGATCAAGAGGCAGAGTATTATAAGCTTTATTGGTTAGTCCTTTTAAATTATCACAACTAAAATTTTATATCGAAATGTCTCATAAAGATGTTACTGTAATTACTTAATGAAAATATAGATACAGAAAAAGCATCATTCATGAGGGCCTAACTCAATGGAACCAACACATAATTACTACATAGGCTATTTCCACTATTTCAATGGGGAGTCCTAACTGAAAATATCTTCATTATAGCAGACAAAGGAAATTAAACTCAATGAGAAGCATCTTCAGTGCAAAGAGAAACAATTTTGTCAACATCCCAGATATAGAAAGTGGCTGGGATTTCTAACCGGTCTACCCTTGTGTAGTAGAGCAATTAGAGTTCCAAACAGGGGTTTGCCTGTAAAATAATATGAGAACTATCAGCTGACTAAGTTGAAAGTTAAAAGTTGACCACTGACATGGAAATTTATGGGCAGATATACCAGTAATAAAACTTTTCGTCCCATCAATTGGATCCAAAACCCAAACGTAATCTGCAGCATTTTCCTTGCACCTCCACCCACTCTCTTCTCCAAAACTGAAATTTGAAAGCAATAATTCTATAAAGAAATTATGAGTCATGCATCTTTGGCTACTTTACTCAAGATATCTATATATTGTGAACGGGAATTCACTAATCATAATAGTCATGCTCAAAAGACAGTTAATTTAAAGCCAACCAGCCAACACAGGTTTGGCTTAATTCCGGTGGATGTTTTCTGGTTCATGCAACACAAATATTCGCAAATCAAATATGGTTCATAAAGAAAACATGAAAACGAGCAAGCCGTGAAAGAAAACAGGAAAAACTTGGAATAAGTCCTTGTTCAACTGATTATAGCATTGTCTTCGAGGCCAAATGAGCAGTACAACAATAATTAAAGTTCAATCCCTGAAGAGCTAGACCAATTACAGTAAAAACATTTCTTCCATTTTCTTAATTTCTATTAATTTCTTAAGAGCCTAACAGCATAAGGAGTACTGAAAAGAAATAAATCTCCAGTGCATTCACACTCAACAGCAAAAGAACTTACATTGCATGAGAAGGAAAATTCTCCTCTATAATCTTCACCATCGACTCCTCTGCCGCTTGATCAGCAATTGTCACCGGACCTAATATCAATGTAATTACCACATTAAATAACCCAACTAATTGAAAATTCCTTTATAATCCATTAAATTAAGCCACACCCACTAAAATTATAATTCATTTTTCTCTCTTATCTTATCAATCACACATTCTCCAATAAAATTTTTCCTTAATTTTTAACCACACGTTTTTTTTCAAAAAAATACTGTTCCAACCATTAAAATTTCAAATAACTGCGGCCAAACTGTCACTAAAATTTTATAATAAAAAAAACTTACTCAAGTCTTCTTTGTCAAGAATGTCGAAAGGCTTCCGGAAGTACTTGCGGATAACGTCACCGGAAGTGTCGGCGAGCTTGTTGCTGACGTCAACAAAGCTGTCGAGGTCCAAATGGTCAAACCCTAGGTCAATAGTCTGAATGTCAACGTTACTGTTACCGTTACAGGAGACATTAGAATTGTTAGAACTCATTTTGAAATCAATTGCTCCAAATTTTAGAGTCGAATGAGAAACTCGAAAAGGAAGAGACGAAGAGCGAGAAAAGAGGGCGGAGTCAGGGTGGCGGCGCGGATGGTGATTTAGAAAGAGAAAGTGAGAAGACGAGTGAGAAAGCATTTGTAAAAGTTGTATTTGCACTGAGGAGTTTATATAGGCGAGAGTGTGTGTATGTGCATGGGACGGCGACTGCGGGAGCAATGGTGGTGGAGGATGGAGAGTGGAGACTGACGTGTTTTGCAATTTGCACCGTAGGATTGGGCAGGCGATGTGCTTTCTTTGGAAGGTTTATTATTAAAAAATAAGAATAACGTTATTTGTAATTGTTCATCATCGTAATCTTACGCAGGAGATACGTGACATTCAATGATTTGCCGCATGAGCCAAAAAAAAACTACTATATATCAAACTTACTTTTTGTCACATGTACGTTACATAAGACAATTACGACAGTAAACGACTGCAAATAACATTACACAAAAGAAAAAAAAAAACCTAAAGTTTTTAAATTTTTTTGGGAAATTTTTGTGAATATTTAATTTTACTAAATCGGGCCTTATTATTTCCATTTTTGAAAAAAAAAAAAAAAAAGGAATTTTCTTAGTAAGAAGAATTATTTAAATATAGGTTGTGATTGATAAAATAGGATTGAAATATGCACCAATTTTCTCCTCCAATATACAACTTAATAATTCATGTTTCCATATTTAACAACCAAATTAATACATAAACATGCCATGGACTGTGACTACAATATTATTCAGTTATTGATCATTTTTGTTTCGGATTTTGACTAGATATTATGAAGTTTATCATACTCGAACGTGACTTTAACCTATAAAAATACGAACATCTACGTGTGTGACCTTAAAAATATACTTGTGGGCAAATTTTGCGACTCTCCTAAGGCAATGAAGATGGAGTGTGTGGAAAATTGTACTTTTATGTGTTGATAAGGTAATGAAACGTCTTAACTTGAGATCATTTATGTTACATATTTTAAGTTCCAATTAGGGAGATTAAAAGTAAAACATATTTAAATATAATATATTCATTAATTGGCTTCCAAAAAGACATGATTCTTCAAGATAAGTTTTATATCTTGAATTCTAGAGTATTTTCTCATTCCCATAAAAAAAGGAAAATATAATCGATCACTAATTGAAGAATATAGTGGATTCGTTGTCATCAAGGTTGGTGCTCATCACCCACGACGATACATAGCATTATTATTTAAATTTCAAAAATTGATCGAAATATCAATTGAAAAGATTTAAAAATCAAATTTTTTTTTATTTTAATGTGAACCAATCAATTTCAGTTGAATTGACGGATTCTAGGTGTTCGGTCGGTTCTCGATTTGTTTTAATGTGTTCCAACATTTCGTCATTTCACACATAATGGGATCTCAGTCAAACCAGCCAGTCGAACTGGTTTTGACAAGATTGGGCCAACTCCCAAATCTACTAAGGCAAGGTATGTTGAACTATACCATGTTAAAGATGGAGGGGAATAACTCTTAGGGCATTTGTATGGTTGCCTTTTTTTGGCCAATGTTCAATTAAAAAAACGAAAAAAAGCCAAGTGTGGCTACAAACCCTGTATATCTCCCTTGTACACATGAAAAAACTTGTTAAAGATGATTTTCAGAAAGAGAGATGTGAAAAAAGTTATTATCATGTCCGGTTTAATCCAAATATGTTGTAGGACGGATTTCACGTAATTAAAATACAGAAATCGTTACAAATTGTATTTCGAGAAATACAAGTAAATATGAATCTTCTTATAATTGTAAAATTGCAATACACTCTGATTAATAATCTGAATGTTTGAAAACGAGGAGCCACGTGGCTTGAATCTTAGATTTCGGGATTTGTTGAGAATTTGATTTGTCAAAAACTTGATTTGTTGACACTTGAGTTTCGGAGCTTGGATTTGAATTTCGAAACTTGGTCTTGATCTTGATTGAATTCAAAGAAGATTTTGATCTTCTTGAGCTTGTTTGATTTGAAAAAGATTTTGATCTTCTTTATATTTGTCGGATTTGGAGTTGAGAGGATTTCTTATTTTCCTTCGACTTTGGGATTTTTTCAGCATTTCGTGATTTTCTTCTTCACTTTTTGCTTCCTCCCTTTGCAATGAACCTTTGACCCCCTATTTAGAGGGGAAATTCTTGACCAATTTTGGTAGCCACTCAATTAATTTAATTAAATTGATTATAGTTGAATAATTGTGGATTTTAAAAATTGTAGGATGGACTTTCAAAATTTTATGGTCCTTAGTATGTTTTAGTTTAGTAAATTTAATTGGGCTAATTATTTAAATTGACTCAACCCACTATTTATCTACAAATATCCGCTCAAAATTTATTAATTTATTATGAAATAAATAAATTAGAAAATCTTGATTTTCGATTTTTTTGACGTAATCGTTATTTGATTATTTATTTATTTTACATAATTCTTGATTTACTTGATTATTTATTTATTTTAACAGACTTTTTATATTTTATGGTAAGTTGGGCTCAAG